TCATATGACCCAGCAGACATGATGGTACCTGATGTGTCAGTGACAGAGATACTGTTTGGAGCCTTTGGCAGGCCCTTAAATATGAAACACAAAAGAAATCTTTGGGATTTTGAAGCAAGGCTCTACCATCATCTGCAGACTATTCTTCATTTGAAAGACAGTTCTTGGCCTGCTTTTCGGCCTTTGCAGAAACTGAATGGTTGACAAAAGCTTACCAAGTTACCAGAAACCTGAGCTGCCCATCATAAATTGAATGTTATCTGATCCACCAAGTCATAAATTAGGATGTATACAGCAGCAATCCATTATAAAGAAAGAAGTGGTATATACATGATTGGGCCTGATGATGATTATGTGCAAATGTCTATGATTTCTACTCCCATTACAATACAGTAGGCTGCCAAGTATGTACCTAGAGCCTCACTGACTGTGCCCTATGATCACCTGACTAAGGAAGAGAAGACTAAAGCATAGTTTACTGATGGTTCTGCACATTATACAAGCACCACCCAGAAGTGGACAGAGGCATCATTACAAACTCTTTCTGGGACAAACCTGAAAGACACTGGCAAAGGGAAATAATCACAGTGGGCAAAAGTATATACGATTTTGGGGAAGGATTAATGGCCCCAGATAGGTGATTGTTCACTGATTCTTCACCTGGAGTCACTGAATTTGCTCGAGGGACAAGAATTAGGAAAGAACTGTGTTAAATTGGTAAGAAAGACATATGGGGAAGAAGTATGTCAATAGTTCTCCTCAAGTGGTCAATTAAAGTGAAGATACATCTCATGTAGACACTCATCAAGAGGACCAGCTGAAGAGGAGTTCAATAATCAAGTAGATAGGGTGTCCTGTTCTATGAACACTTGGGCTCTTTCTCCAGCCATTTCTGTCATTTCCTAGTGAGCCCGTGAACAGTGGCCATGGTGGCAGAGATGGGGATTATGCATGGGCTCGACAAGATGGGATTCTACTTAACTAAGGCTGACCTGGCTACAGCAACTGCTGAGTGGCACATCTGCTAATATCAAAGAGCAACACCGAGCCCCAGATATAGCACCATCTCCGTGGTGACCAGCCAGAGACCTGGTGGCAGACTGACTGCATTGGACTGCTTCCTCTGGGGAAAGGAAAAATGCTTTGTCCTTACTGGAGTACATACTTATTCTGGTTATGCATTTGCCTTTATTACATGTAATGCTTCTTCTAAAACCACCACTCATGGCCTTACAGAATGCCTTATCTATAATAATAGGGCTATTATTATAATAGGGCTTATAATTATTGCAATAGTTATTATTATCCTGCTACCATATTGATGAAAGACACAGATACTTGGTAGATTTTTTTTTTAAATAAGCCTTGTTTTACCTGGGACTGGACAGATATTAACCCCCTAAAGTACCTTGTTATCTCCCAGTCCCACACCCCATGCCATTTGCTCTAATCATTCCTATCTGGGCTACTTCCCATCCAAAATAATATAAATATTTGCACATGTTTTCCATTTGGGCTTCCTCTCTCCAGCCATGCTGAGCCTCAGAGTAAATTCCTCCTGGCCATGTAGTTTTTCCTTATGCTAAACCATGGCAGTCTCCTTTCCTCTTCTCCTCTCTTATACCTCTCTCTACCCTTCCTGTGATCTTTCTCTCTTCCAAGCCTACAAACCTTGGCCATGCCTAACTCACTTTACACTGACCAGGTGTAGGCTTTTTATTTAGCCGATCAGGGATAATTTTGGAGGCAAGGTTACCCAGCATTACTTAGGGTACGTGATAGCGTGCTTATAAAAGACAACAAGCAGACCTTGGGTTGGAAAATAATTAACGGTCAAATACAAAGCACCAGACCATGCTGTAGCACATGCCACCAGATACTCCATACAGTATTGCTCTCACCAAGAAACTCACTTTACAACAAGAGATGTATGACAGTGGGCCCACACTCACCAAATCCACTGGCCTAACCAAGTTCCCTACCATCCAGAAGCAGCTGGCCTGTTAGAAAGATGGATGGCTTTTTATTATTATTATTTATTATTATTATTAGTTACATTTTATTAACTCTGTATCCCAGCTGTATCCCACTCCCTTATTCCCTCCCAATCCCACCCTTCCTCCCTCAGCTCCTCCCTGCCCCTTTCCAAGTCCAGGACTTGGGGAGGACCTCCTCCCCTTTCGTCTGAAGACAGAGCTAGTTACAATGGGAATTGGGTTACAAGAGTCGGGAGGGACAAGGCAAGGTCCTCCAGAAGGCAATATAAGCTTTGAATCAGTGTCCAATATATGGTATATTTTCTCCCACAGCCAGGATCCATGTATCAAAAAATAAAGGGGTAAAAAAAAGGTAATGGTTTTCCTCTCTATCACCCTAGCAACCCAGTAGGAATTTTATTTTATTTTTTTCTTCTTGTACCCAGAACTTTAAGGTCTGTTGAGATAGAAATTTTGGTTCTAGAGGGGCCAGAATTCCTGCTAGGAGACACAACAAACATTCCATAGAAGCTTAGACGTCTCCCTGGCCACTTTGGCCTTCTGATGCTCTTAAGCCAACAGGCAAAGAAAAGAATAACAGTGTTATGAAGCATGATTGATCCGATTACCATGGCAAAATTGGATTACTTCTCCACAATGGAGGTAATGTTTATATCTGTAGTGCTTGAGATCCTTTATGCTGTCTGTTGGTTCTACCATATTCTGAGACTACCATCAATAGAAAACTACAACAGCCTACTACAAGCAGGCTGACAAAGGACACAGAACCTTCAGGATAGAAGGTATGGGTCACTCCTCCATTAAAAGTGCCAAGACCTGCTAAGGTAATTGCTCAGGGTGGAGGAAATACAGAATGGGTAGTAGAGGAATGAAGGAATGTACTTATAAATACCAGTCAAGAGACAAACATTATAACAGATAGGAGTGTTTCATATTTTCTGTACAGATATAGGTTCTCTTTCCCCAGTTTCTTTATCATGTGATATAAGATCAATTAGGATGCTATTACATTTTGGTTTGAGATACTAAAAGAATATCCCTTATTTGCTACCTATTCTAAATTTGCAATGTATTTTTGATTGTATGAGGAATAATTATATGATGTTTGGTGTAATTATGAACTGGTGAAATATTTAATGAATTTGAGATTGTACATGGGATAGTTATATTGTATTTAGGCAGTATTATTATTTTCATTTGGAAATTATGACATGAAATGATTGTGTCAAGCTGTCAAGGGGTAGACTTGTAATGGCTATTCTTGTTTGTCAATTTGACTACATCTGGAATTAACTAAAACCTAAAAGTAGATGGCACATCTGTGAAGGAGTTTTGGTTAATTCGAAGTGGGAACATTTACTTCTAATTCAGGTCTTTGAGGGAGAAAGACACACCTTAAATCCAGATCTAATCTGGGCCACACCTTCTGGCTATATAAGCACATGGATGAAGGAGTTTTTGCTTGTTGCCTGCCTGCTCTCACCTTGATACCAAGTCCTTTTCTTCACTAGCATTACAGCCTATTTCTTTGGGATTCCAGTGTATACTGACTGAAGACCAACTGAGCCTTGTGGACTGAGCAACTCCTGGATACATTCATAGGCAGCCAGTGTTGGATTAGCTGGACCACAGCCTGTAAGTCATTCTAATAAATACCTTTCCTAAATATATATAAAGAGATTCTTTCTATTAGTTGTTACTCTAGAGAACCCTGACTAATACACTAGCAAACAAGCCCCATGGGTATGTTGATCTTCACCTCCACAGCACTGAGATTAGAAAATCAGATCATCATGCTCAGCCTTTTTTAAGATTATAATATAATTACAACAATGATCAGCTTTTACAATATATATATTTTAGGTTCAAATTCAGGTCCATCTGCTTTCAAAAGAAGCCTTTTTATAGACTGAGCTCTCTTCCCAGTCCTAAAAGTAGGCTGTTTAAAAATCAAAACAAAAACCAAAATGAGTATGTGAGCTGGGTAATAAAGCAATAAAGGGAAAACCAATAGATGATTACAAAATGGAATACTTTTTGGGAGAGGTAGCTCCATTAGGCTTAACCAATGCAAAAACTCAGCTACTTAAACACAGACGCCATTTTTTTTCTATTATATTTGAAAAGAATTTCTAGATCAAAAAGCACATGTACACTCTAAGAAGGTAAAAAATTAAAATGGGCATGTGGGACTGGGGTGTATTTTTCTCACTAATACTGCTAGGGCTACAAGTCTGTTTGGAGCTGTGATTTCTGGTTTTTGTCCAGATGCGGTTTTTCAAATAAGGTCTATTTTAAGAGATACCAAGTTAGATGTAGAAGGCCGAAAGAGGGCGAAAATGACTACTGTTGAGCAAAAATTGGTGATCAAGAACAAAAATAAGTGCAATATGCCCACATATAGGATAGTTCATCTAACAGAGATATCTTCCCGTCGTACGGTGGTTAGAAGAGAATTTACATACATGCATATGTATGCTTCCACATTTGACAGTATTTCTTCGTGGAGGTCCCCAATTCTGTTTAACCTTGCCAAGGACTTTCAAGGCTGTCTACATCAACTGATAATGGTGTGTCCTCTGGCCAACACGGCTTTGTCTTAGGATGCATACTTATGTGTTTCACCGCTCCTAAATGCTAGGAACACACTATGCATTTCCAGAGAGTTCCCTCTTCACCAGCCTTAATCACTTCCTGAAAATCTAGATTAAGATCCCAGGGAGCAGCAGTCCAGTACCAGTACACTGTTCCTCAGTACTCGGTCCTTGGGACGACACCCTCTCTCCCATGACTGACGTTCCTCTTTCTTCTTCGATTAGATTCACGGCCTGCTAAAGTAGGAGTCACTTTTCGGCCCCTGTGCTATGCCTCAGCGAATTTAAACCCAGCGGCACCACTCCACGGTCAAAGAACCTAAGCGTCGCGCTCCGGAGGCCATTCTCGCGAGACCAACTCTCGCGGTATTTCTCTGGGTCCAGAATCCTTAGCGCGAAGCGGACGGTCGTTCAGCTCGGCCTCTGTGCACAGACGCCGCAGTTGGCAGCGAAGCCAGGCTCCCGTCGGTTCTGCGTGGAGGATGGCGGTGCCTGAGCCGCCGCTGCCGCTGTCGCGGGGAGGCCCAGGCTCCGCTTCGCTCTCGCCGCCCCGGGGCGACCGCACCCTCCTCGTCCGGCACTTGCCGGCCGAGCTGACGGCTGAGGAGAAGGAGGACCTGCTCAAGTACTTCGGGGCGCAGTCGGTGCGCGTCCTGTCGGATAAGGGGCGCCTGGTGAGCGTGCACACCTCGCGGGGGGTCGGGGCGGCCCCCGCTGTAGGACCTGGCCTGCGGGGACGGGCCAGGCGGTCTGCGCGTGCGCAGCTTGTGGCGCCGGGCTGTGATCGCGGAGTTAGGCGGAAGCTACGAGTTGGCCCAGACGCCAAGTGACACCTTGTGGTGTTGTGTGCACTTTGTGTACACACTCCTCCCCTTCCAGTCCCACCCTCCTTCTACACCCATGTCCCTCCCCAAGTCCACTGATAGGGGAGGTTCTCCTCTCCTTTCTGATCTTAGTCTATCAGTTCTCATCAGGAGTGGCTGCATTGTCCTCTACCGTGGCCTGGTAAGGCTGCTCCCCCCTCAGGGAGAGGTGATCAAAGAGCAGGCCAATCAGATTATGTCAGAGGCAGTCCCTCTTCCTATTACTATGTAACCCACTTGGACACTGAACTGCCATGGGCTACATCTGTGCAGGGGTTCTAGGTTATCTCCTTGCATGGTACTTGGTTGGAGTATGAGTCTCAGAAAAGATCCCTGTGCCCGGAGGTTTTGGTTTTGTTGCTCTCCTTGTGGAGTTCCTGTCCTCTCCAACTCTTGCAGTTTCCCACTTCTTTTATAAGATTCCTTGCACTCTGCCCAAAGTTTGGCCATAAATCCCAGTATCCGCTTTGATATCTTGCAGGATAGAGCCCCTCAGAGGCCCTCTGTGGTAGACTCCTGTCCATTTCCCTGTTTTCTCCCTCCTCTACTGTACATCCTCTTTGCCTTTCTAATTTTTTTTTTTTGAGGGAACTAGACTTTGTAGATTTTTTGACAGTCATAAAAACTTCCTGAAGTAGTCTTATGGGAACAGTATTATGAGAGTTGAAAGACCTTTTGTAATGCTCAAATATTTTTTATGTTTGATTTTTTTTTTCCAGGCACAAAGATACTATTATTAGTAAGTTTATGCCAGATAGTCGTCTGCGATGGAGCCAGACCCCGATGGATTTTAATTTTCAGTAGGATTTAATAATATAGTCAAAGTTGAGAACTGCTAATGGAAGACCAATTTTGAACAGAACGTTATGTATACCAACAAATGCAAAGAAAAAACACTTTGACTTAATCTAAGTATACTAATGCCATCTTGGATCAGATTGGTCTAATAAACAACTCAAACTTATTAATGTAATTTGTTTCACCTTTTTAATGATGGTTTTAAAAACAATTTAAATTAAAAATTAGACTCATTGAGACAAATTACAAAAATAACGCACAAAGAGAACATTAAATTTGAGGGGTGATTTCACTGTTAGCAAATGCTTTTAAATTTTATCTTGGACTGTATAGAATGAAATTTTAAGATCTTTGGGTGTGATGAAAAGTATTCAAGATGTTTAAATGTTTTAAGATTGATCCTTTTTGAAATATGGAGAGGTTTTAAGTTTTTACTCTAATTATGTATATTTGTGTGTGTGTGTGTGTGTGTATTGGGTGTGCAGGAGTGTAGAGGCTGGAGTTATAGGCGGTCATGAAGCTGCCTTGCATGGCTATTGGGATCCCAAAGAGGTCCTTTGGAAGAGCCCTACTGACTTTTACCACACACCCATCTCTCTAGCCCACAATAGCAGAGATTTTTGAAGTTGTGTTTTGTTGAACTGTTTGCTATTATAAAACATCGTGTTTGTCCTTGTCCACTGACGTTTAGAGGCTGAAGAGCTTTCATGTCCAAGAACTCTAACCCAAGAAAGAGTTAGAATCACTAGATTGAAACTAGTAATCAGTTAGTTAAAAATTTCCATCCTTTCTGATAATTTTAGTAAAAAATAATAAATTTTATTAAAAGGTTACTTTTTATGAGAAACTTAAATCATATTGGAAATAATATATACCTTAATTTTATTTCAGAAACATACAGCATTTGCGACTTTTCCTAATGAAAAAGCAGCAATAAAGGTAGGTCTTTTTCTTTATTACTGAAGCTTTCAAAGATTTCTTATCCAATCTTAGGACAGAAGTGGGAGTAAAGGTAAACAGTCATTTTAAAAGCAAAATTATTTACATTCCAAGAGTTCCTCAGAAACTCATGTTTGACACAATGAATGTTGTATTTAAACTTAGCTATTATTCCCAATGGTACTTTATTATGACTGCAAATATTTAAAACATGGAAAGACCCCAAAATCTGAATTCCAATTCCAGACATATTAGATAAGAGATATTAAACTCTTTGCATCCATGTTTTGGACTGTAATTGTCTGATTTTATGTGATATTATTAGGGAATATAGTTCATGTTGAATAAGCCTGTAAAATATATAACACTTTCCTTCATAATGTCTGGAGCAGTGCTTCTGAGCCTATGTGTTGAATTTCAGACACCCTGAATATCAGATATTAACATGATTCATAAAAGTAGCAAAATTATAGTTATAAATAACAACAAAATTCAGTGGTTGGGAGTTACTATGACATGAAGAACTGTATAAAAGGTCGCAGCATTGGGGATGTTGAGAACCACTGCTCTAGAGAGTAAAGAAAAGACTTGAAATGATAGAGGATGGAATTTAATAAATGAGTCTAACAAGCTAGATTTAGATAAAACAGTTAATTTGTGATGACAGATGCAAAGTGGAACATATAGGTGAACGTACTGATGATAGGGAGTATAGTTCACAGCTCTCATTAGTCTCATTTGTCTCAAAGTAAAAGGTGAAGTGTTATTCTAAGTGAACAGGAGAAGAAACAGTGTGAGGCAACCTATCAAGGAAAACAGAAAACTCTCCTCTTAAAAGAGTAGTGCAGTTTAAGCCGAGATTGTGAAATATAATGATCAGGTCACCTTGAGATTTTATTTTTGTAGTTAGAATTTAGTGTGTGACCAGAAAAGAGATTATGTTTGTTTTGTAGCTATATTCAGTGTAGGTACAAGCAGAATTAACATAGGATTGGAGTCAGTTCAATTTCATTTTATTAATATAGAGTGCTTTGATAAGTAGTAATTGAATGATAAAATACCTGGAGATAAGACATAACTAAGGAAATATTTGTAATACTAATAGTAAAAGAATATAAATTTTGTTCTTTTAGGATGACTAATAGGCTTTTTTATTGTACCTAAAGGCATTGACAAGACTCCATCAGCTGAAACTTCTAGGTCACACGTTAGTTGTTGAATTTGCAAAAGAGCAAGATCGAGCTCATTCACCATGTCCCACCTCAAATACAGAGAAAAAGAAAAGGTATGTAGACATTCAGGTTTTCCTCTCATTTTGAAGTATGAGTGTGTTTCACTCTTTTTTGTAGTTATTGTGTTATTGATAAAGAAAATAAGTTGAAAGCATAATGAAATGTTTCATCAGTAAGTTTTAAAAGTAAAGCAGTATTTTTGTTTCTAGTTGTGCTGAGGACTAAACCTTAAAAGGTTAACAAGTTAAGTGAAAAAGTGCAATGAATGGGGTTCTGCATTAATGGAGGAAGAGCAACTACATGTTAATTATCCATTATCCAAAATGTTTGGGGTAAATAGTATTCAATGTGATTAATATCTTTGAAGTATTACCCCACGCCTAGAAATTCACTTGTTTCACATCTGCCTTGTACACATTTCATGAAGGTAATTTATATAATATTTTCAGTGTGTCCATATTTTGTGATGTGTTACTTGAGGTTACCAGTGTACTATTTTAATTTGTAGTATCACGTTGCCTCAGAGTTTCAGATATACGATTTCAGATTTCAACTTGTAGTAATACCACTCTTTAGAAATTATTATAGAAAATTAATAGCTTTTTTTGATGACCTCCCATTTTCATTTAGTCCTTATTTTGTGTAATATTTTGTCGTGTGTCTCTGCATCTGTTTCCATCTGCTATTGAGGAAGCCTCTGATAATGACTGGATAAGGTGCTGGTCTATAAGTATAGTGGAATATCATCAGGAGTCATTTTATTAAATTTTTATCTTTTTAATTAAAATTTTTTTTTTTAAAGACCAGCAGTGTTTGGTTTTCTCCTAGGTCTCTGGGCTATCTAGTCTTTGGTTGTTGGTTACCCAAGCAGTGTTAGGCATGTACTCCCACTCTCGTTGAGTGGGCCTTAATCAGACGTAGCTTGGCTACTCCCATAGGCTCTGTGCCATCATTACCCTAGCATATTTTGCAGGCAGGAGAAATTATAGGTAAGGTTTTGTGGCTGGTTTGGTGTCCACCTTTTTCTTTTGGCAGCCTGCAGAGTACCTTCCCACACCAAAGATGGGAGAATGTAGGGACCATGTAGGCATCAGCTTGACTTCTTTTTTCCTTGTTCAATGAGTTGTGTCTTTGGCAATGGGATTCACCTGTCGCTTTGTGAAGAGCAGTTCATTGTCTCAGCAACAGCCTGGGTTATTTATATGGAATTTCCAGGGACCAGTGGTTAGCAACTCAATTGAATGTAACCCATTCCTGCCACTGGAAGCCTTGATGGGTGAGAAGAAATGGCCAAGGGAGACTCCATGACCCTCATGAACAGAGTACCTCATTAGTACTACTGTCTTAGTTTGTGTTTTCATTGCTGTGAAGAGACACCATGACCAAGGCAGTTCTCATAGGGGCAAACATTTAATTGGGGCTGACTTACGGTTTTAGAGGTTTAGTCCATTATCATGGCAGGAAACATGGCAGTATACAGGCAGACATAGTGCTGGTGGAGCCCAGCATCTAAGGTAGTCAGGAGGAGACTGAATATGTTTCACACTGGGCCTAGCTTGAGCATTTAAGGTTTCAAAGTCTGCCTCCACAGAGACACTCTTCTTCCAACAAGGCCATACTTCCTCCAACAAGGCCACACCTCTTACTAGTGTCACTCGTTGTGGCCAAGCATTTAAACATACGAATTTATGGGGCCATACCTAAACAAACAACTAGTCACCTTCATACATTCCAGGAACTTTCCATTGCACTAGGTTTTCACACTACCCCCCAAGTGTCTCCCCAATTCTAGCTGTTTCTCCCCCAACTCTCCCTCATTCCTTTTTTTCTCACAGTCTTCCTCATCTCCAGTCTTCTGCCCCTAGTCCCATCAAATCCTTCCCCATAGAGCTCAGGAATTCCACAGAAGAGGAAACAGAAAGATTGTAAAAGCCAAGAAGGAGATAGGGGACCCCAAGAGAACAAGGTCCTCTGAATCAACTAAGCAAGTTATGTGCATAGCTCACAGAGACTGAAGCAGCAAGCACAGGACCTGCACAGGTCTGCGCCAGGTCCTCTTTCTATATATTAGACCTATTAGCTTAGTGTTTTTATGGGTCTCCTGACTGTGAGAATGAGTGGGTCTTTGACTCTTTTCCTCCTGGATTTGCGTGTCCAACTTGGATATGAAAGTTTTTGCTTCATCTTATATTTTTGTCATGTTTACTTATCTCTTAGAAACTTGTTCTTTTGTACTGAGAGCTAAGAAAGAGTGTGGAGCCAGAGGGCAGGGGAGGTGGAGGAAGAACCGGGAGGAGTAGAGGAAGAAGAACCTATAACCAGGATATATTGTATGGGAAAACAGTCTATTTTCAATAAAAGAAAAACATGAAAGAAATTAAAGAACAGTATTTTAGATCCAAGCCATGACTTCTTACAGTTCTTTAGCCTTTGCAGAGATTTTACATTAGTTGATGTCATTCATTTCTTTTCTTTTGTCTTCTTTCTTTCTTTCCTTTTTTTTTTTTTCTTTTTTTTTTGGTTGAGACGGGGTTTCTCTGTTGCTTTGGCTGTCCTGGATTCACTTTGTAGTGCAGGCTGGCCTTGAACTTACAGCAGTTCACCTGCCTCTGCCTCCCTGAGTGCTGGGACTAAAGGCTCACACTACCACGCCTGGGTTTAAATCCCAAGATCTTATTTAAGAGGTGAGGGTGAAAGAAGTAAGGCACTGCAAGTCTGTAATTGTGTGAGAGATGCATATTGAAAAAAAATTGAATACCCCAGTACCCTTATAACATATTATTTTAGTTTTCTTGTGATGATTTGGAATTACGATACGATGTTCATGCACTGGATGTGAAATCTAAGTGTAGGGAGTAAGTAGAGTTCAGTTGTACTTTTCTTTCTCAGCAATGCTTATTTGAGAAGTCTTTTAAAGTTTCTTTAATGGAATTATATTCATAATGCCATGTTTGAAAATATTTTTCTTTTCTATATCCATTTTTTTTTACTTTTTCCAAAGATAAGATTATCTATGATTCTGTATGTTCTAGGTTGGATGACACTGTGGAAGATGATAAAGAAAAGAAGGAACCTGACCTTTTAACAATAGAGAATGGAATTGCACCAAATCACGGGTTTGCATTTTTTTTTTTATTATTCTGCCTTTGTTATTTGCCTGTGTGTATACATGTATTGTGCATAATATTGTAAATAAGATAGTTTTTAAAGTCAGCTTTTTAATATGTCATGTGTAAAATGTGCTGAATAAGCATTTTAAGGTAGTAGGGTTTTTTTCACTGTCTGTTTAGGTGTTCAAAGTGAACTGATAAGCAATTCCTTTAATAGGAATATTAAGGAATAAATAGATTTATGACTTTCCAATTTTGTGTGTTAATAGATTATCTAAAATGAGTCATTGATAAGGAATTATTAAAACGTAATAAACATGTACCTTAATTTATTTTGTTTTTGTAGGTTAACCTTTCCTCTAAATTCATGCCTCAAATATATGTATCCACCACCTTCAAGCACAATCCTTGCAAATATAGTAAATGCTCTGGCAAGTGTCCCTAAATTCTATGTACAGGTATGCAGAATCAACTTAACTTTTGCTTATTGTATGAGTTTATAATTTGATTCCTTATATACTGTGTTTATGCTCATACATATTTATTATTTACAAAACTTAACAAATTCCAGACAGGCAATGTTCTATGTAATGTTTTAAATGAAGTGAACTGTTACTACAAATACAGTATAAATGGATGTTGATAGCAGACTACATTGGGAAATATAATTTGTTATAACTGTTATTGAGTATAGCATTGACTTTGAGAAATCCTTAAAGGTATGACTGGTAGCAACTGTTTGAAAAACTTGACAGTAATGTTACTTCTCAGAAGTATGAAATACAGATGGTATGTTTTTTTTTCTTTATCAGCAACAATTATATGAGAACATTTTCAGTATTTTTTTTAAAATCAATAATTGTAGAAATTTGTAGGAGGATTAAGGTCCTGAGATATACTGACGCCTTAATTAATATACTGGTGCCTGAGAGGACTTTGGTTTTTACTAAGTTAATCAAGAGTGCTTTTACATGGTGGGTGTGTAGTACAGGCCTTTAATTCCAGCATTTAGAAGGAAAAGGCAGGAGGATCTCTGTGAGTTAAGGTCAGCCTGATCTACATAGTGAGACTATTTCAAAATAAAATGTTTTTCCAAAATACTTGTATTGTATAAAATATGCACGGTTAATCATGACATTAATTCTATGTGACTTTTTGAATATTTTACCACTTTAAGGTGCTCCATCTTATGAATAAAATGAACTTGCCCACACCATTTGGACCGATTACTGCACGACCTCCTATGGTAAGAAATTTTTAGAATTTTCACAAGCCACAATTTTCTTTCCTGAGTTTTACAAGTTTTGCAACAATTTTGTAGCTACTAATAGTAAAGCTGAGAACCTAAAGTGGAAGAAAGTGGGACTATGAAAGAAATGCTTTCATTAATAAAGCCAAAATTTCTTCCAGTCATTTGGTGCCAAGTATATCATCCTGTAAATATAAGATAATTGTATTTAATTAAGTGAATTATTTAAAAATTTCATTGCTGTGGTTTTGAATCATTCTTGGACCCAAGTTGTCTTCACTATTGCCCATCTCCGTTGATTAGGACATTTTGCAGATCAGAAGCAAAGAAACGATTATATGGAGACTTCTTATGCTCTTATTCCACGGCCTAATTTACAGGTTGAAATACAAGGTGTCTTTGCAAGTTTTATATAGTTAGATGGCCAGGGAAAGTAGAAAACAAAACTGTTTTCATCTAGCAGTTTGTCATCACAGATATTACCTGATTATAAACCGAGTTTATAAAAGAAAAAAGAGAATCATTCATATGGAATGAGATTCTGTTGCTGAGAATCAAGAATGTGTACAAAAGTTTGTCTATTCTGTAAATATCATTGGTTTTCATAGTGTTTTGTTCTTTTAAATAGTATGAGGACTATATGCCATTGCATGCACCCCTTCCACCTACATCACCTAGACCACCTGAGGAACCTCCCCTACCAGATGAGGATGAGGATTTATCTAGTAAAGAATCAGAATATGAAAGCAGTGATGAGGAAGACCGACAGAGGTTTGTGATGTGACATACTCACTTTTGTTCTAAAGATAATAATGTCAGAGACAGTAACTGCTTCTCTTACTAGGGGGAACCCACATGAAGACTAAGCTGCCTGATGGCTACATATGTGTAGTAGTTCTAGATTCAGTCCATGCATGGTCCTTTATTGGTGCTTCAGTTTCCGTAAGGCCCCTAGGCCCAAGTTATTAGAGTCCCTTGTTCTTCTTGTGGAGTTCTTGTCCCCTCTGGGTCTTTCTATTCTTTGTTCCACTCTTCTACAGGGCCCCTCTGCATAATGTTTGGCTGTGGGTCTCAGCATCTGTTTCAATCTACTGCTGGTGGCTCTCACAGGACATTTATGCTAGGTTCTCATCTGCAAACAAAACATTTAATAATGTCAGGTTGGCTTTCCCCCATGGGGTGGATCTCGGGTTGGGTGAGGCATTTGTTGGAAATTCCCTCAATCTCTGCTTTATCTTTATCCCTGCATATCTTATAGGCAGGATAAATTTTGAGTAGAAGATTTTGTGGGTGGGCTGATGATTCCGGAATCTCCCTGTACTGGAAGTCCTGTCTGGCTAGGAGGATTGCGGGAAAAGAGTTGGAGGGGGGTGGGCCCAATACTGGTGGAGGGAAGGGCCTATGATTGGGATGGAAAGTAAGTTAAAATAATAATAATAATAAGGGAAAGACTTGCTTTTCCTATATTTCTCATATAATTATGCAAAATTAGAATGCCTTATATGTCAGACATCCCAATGATCTTAAGTCTATATAGTAGCTTAGTGGATATTAGGGTCTTTACAAAAGTTTTAAGATGAAGCCTAATTTTTTAGATTGGTGATTTAGTATTACTTCATTGTTTATGGTTCCATATTTGTTATTTTGCTCATTAAAAGTTTTCATAGCTTCAAGTTTACCCCTTTCTATAAAAAGAAAAAGTTTTTTTTTAACTTGTATTTTTTTCTTTACAAGGACTTGTATTTCTAAGGTGTTTTGTAGATAGGAGTGTAAACAATGTGCTGAAGAATTTTAGTCACCTGACCCATTCGTTCCTAAAGTAGCTGGTTGTTAATCAACATATCAGAATTATACTGAAATACCTGGGAGTTAACTTATAATAATAAATACAATCTATAACCAGCCATGTCCACATTTTTTTAGGTCTGTGGTTACTCAAGACAGCACCGTACTCCTTACCTTACAATTATAAAAACAAAAGAGAAATGAAGAAATCATTGTCCCACAATTTCTTGAGAGTATATCCTAAGTGACCCATGTGTTCTACCATCTTTGGAATCAAGCTTTTTACAATTAGGCTATTTGGAAATACCATATCCAAATCACAGCAGTTATATTCCATGTTGTTTTAACTCTCACACTAGCCATGTTTGTTATTTTTTTATTAATGGTCTAATAACATTTCATTTTTCACATTTTGTTTTATTACTAATTAATACATTCAAAATGGTTTTCAGTCTTAATATTTAAGTGAGTCTAATACTAAGCTCAAGAAAACTATACATTAACAGAAAATTGGACCAAAGTTGTAGTGGTATTGAATATGAATTAAATCATTAAAGCTTGTTATATAAGATATCTCTCACGTGAAACAGTTGTATGTTATTATTTAATCTTATGCTATAAGCAGACTTAACAGGAACTTTCGATGTAGTATAGTATTCTGTTCACTAATTTAGTATTTACCATGATTTCATAGTAGGTTTATAGGTAATAAGTCATAATTAAATTCATATTTTGAACAATTGATTGTTCTTTACAGTATTCTCTTCAGAATGATTTCTAGAGGAAGTTTGTAGGATTCTTTGTATAATCATCCATGTTACTAACAATAAAACTCTTCATTGGTTTACTTTGAGATTCTACATTGTTATCTAAAGATCCTGCAAAAGAATTGTGAATTCTTAATTTTTTGGCATATAATCTAAACCAATCTTAGCTACAAGAATTGGCCATACGTTTTCTTGTAAGTACAAAGAACATGTCATAACTGTTCTACATTCATGGCAGGAAATCAGCCATATTTATACTTCATGAATAGGTTTGGCTGTATTCCAACTAAACTTAATGTATATACAAGAGCAGATAGCTAGCTTGATTCGGTCCTTGCACCAACCCTCACCTCATGATTAATGGGTAAATGTTACGAATACTAATTACTATGCACAAAAGTCAGATGTGTTAATAAGATTTCCAACCCAAATAGAGACTGTAAGAAGCACATATAATCAGCATTAATTTTACTACCCCACTCCTATCTAAGTTGTGATTCAAAACCTAGTATCTCCCCATGGGAAAATGAAATTGTAGGTGGGATTCAAACTATTAAGTAACAAGGGATAGAATCTATTTGGAATAAAGACATTTTACCTTATTGTAAACTAAAGAGTAGTTAAAATGATACATTTTATTATTCTTTTAGAAAGTGTTATTAATTTTTAAGTAAGCTTGTAACCTATTTAGAAATGCTTTAAAAAGTAAGAGTAGTGATCTTAGAAATGTGATAATATTCTACCTCAGACCCATTTTTATTTTTGTAGGTTTTCATTTAAAAATGTAGCATGGAATTCTGCTTAGATTTAACTTGAGTCTTAAAAGAGAACAAGTACAATTTCTAATACATGTTTTTATAACTTTGTTTTTTTTTTTTAAAAAAAAACTATTTTAGTGAGGTCAATTTAATATGAAATTTGGTCAAATTGATACGCCTATTGTTGGCTTTAAAGTTATCCTTATTATTTTTAAATGTATATTATATTTGAGATACAGACCATAGTCTATAATATCAACTCTTGTTTGCCTTTTTTTTTCTTAACCTAGAATGAATAAACTAATGGAACTAGCAAATCTTCAGCCAAAAAGACCCAAAACAGTAAAGCCACGCCAAGTAAGAAAAAAGCGAAAAATAAAGGATATGTTGAATGTGCCTTCATCAACTTCACATAGGTAATTTTACTAATACTTATGAAATGAGGGTTGTCTGTGTGCTTTATTTGCTTAACTCAGATTATTCTTCAGTGTGGCAGTTTGTCAATTTACTTTGCTGACCACGGTGTTTCTGTTTGCCAAATAGTTTTCACAGTTACCTTTTTAACCAGCATTTGATAATACTCAGTATTCATTTTACATTAATGTGTTTTCTCTGATTAGACATATTTCTACTACTTACTAGTGACTGCAGTTTTAACATCATTTAACTTTTCTGCAAGTTACATTTTAATAGAACTAACCTGGTGTGTAAATTGTGACACCTAATCCCTTTCTCTCCTGATGTTGCAGTCTTATGCTTTAAATCCCTTAGCAGTGCTGAGTAGCAAAAATAATGAAAACCATGTTCTCTAGCAGCTACACTAAACAGTAAAAATGAACGGCTTAAAACAATAGTGATAATTATTTAATGCATTATACTCAAAATATTATATTGTCATAAATCCGTATAAAATGTTATTGAGCAGTTAGACATATTTTCTTTACAGAAATTTACTAATTACACATAGCTAGTGATTGTAAAAGTTGCATACTACAGACAGCACTGACTACACAGTGAATAGTATACTGTATACTATATACTGCCAGATGATACCTGTAATCACAGCACTTGGCAGAGGGATGCAGAATGATTTGAAATTGAAAGTCTTTTTCTCCTACATAAAGCAAGTTTATCCCTGTGGTAAATGGTCTGGCAAGGTTATTTTGCACACAAAATTGGGACCAATGGTGATTCCTAGAGTTTGATCCTAAATATCCACATGGAGGAAGAAAGACCTATCTACCCAGTTTGTCTGCTGAGCTAAATGTGTACATACACAAAAGAAATGTCAAACAACTGAAACATATTCTCTTGTACTGACTGAACAATTACATATCTTCCTGCTCCTAGTAAATATACGCTCTAAATATCAATGGATAAATTCTGACTTTTTCATCTACCAAATAACTTTATTTAATCTTTGAATGTCCTTTAACCTCAGTTTCCTCATCTATGAATTAGGTGCATAATAGTATTATTACAAAACTGTTGAGCTTTATTAGACTATTAAATCTAGTTATATGTAGTGCCTAAAATAGTGACTGTTTTATCAGTGTCAGCTTCTTAAATTTAAAGAAAATCTGAAAGTGTTCTTAGAATTTTATTTTAAATTATAAACTTATGTTGTCATTGTTTATAAATACCAGTTTGCATCCTGTGCTGTTACCTTCAGATGTATTTGACCAACCGCAACCTGTAGGTAATAAAAAAATTGAATTTAATATATCTACCAACATGCCAGCAGCAATTAAGAACGATTTGGAGAAGAAACAAAATAATGAGGAAAAAAATTCTGGTAAGAACATTTTAGTTATTTTATATGTTAACAACCTTTTTATGTTAAAATAAATTTTATATTAGTGTCTTTCTCCTCTAAGTATGCAGTTGCAGATTGCGGCTGTAGCTCAGTTGGTAGAGAGCATGCATAGAGTTCTGAGTATACAGTACTTCAGAAACTGGAGAGCATGGTAATGCAAGTTTATGGTTCCATTGTTTGGGAAGTGGAGGCAGGAGACTCAGAAGTTCAGGGACATCATTGGTTAATCGGTGGAGGACAGCCTGAGATAAACAGGACTATCTAAAATGTAAAAAGAAGGAAAAAATTTTTTTTTTGCAAAACTTAAAGTAAACTGTATGTTCTAATAAGATGGACTAATTCATTTTGAACTCTTATCTAAATTAAACTTAGGCTAAATGGAAAGATTGTCATTGTTGCTTTTTATTTTTGATATTCTGAGATAGAATCTTCTGTGTATCCCAAAACATGCTTAAACCCGTGCATCCTTATCCCATTGCAAATATCAAAGGTGTGCACCGCAATTCCTGGCTTCTTTTGTTATTGTTTGCTAGAGATGCCATCTCCGTGAAGTTCAGGGCTTTGCTGATTTAAATGTAGATAATAGATTTATTTACATTAACAACTTTTCACTGCCTGACTTATATGCTATTCTGTGATGTTATTAACAGAGTTGTATGTTTTTTGAGAAAACAAGTTTTGCAGTCAAGTTCTTACACACACACACACACACACACACACACACACACACACACGTTTTACTTAAAAGTCAGAGGACTAAAACATTACAGTGCTTATTTCAACTATTAATGACATTCTTTATTTAAAAGGATTGCTTTTTGTTTTTTTAATTGCATATCTGTGTATTTGTGAAAGCAGATTGACACTTGAGTAAGGTTGCCTGCTGAGTATAGCTGCCCTCCAAGGTCAGAATAGGACATTGGCATCCTGAGATGGAGTTACCAGCCTAGCATGCTGGTAATGCACTTCTGAACCTCTACTAGAGCAGTATGTACTTATAACCACTGAGCCATCAGTCTTGCTTCACAATGACATCCTTTAAATATATGTTATCTAATATAAGCTATTAGAAATTTAATCACAACAACAGTAATAAATAAAATCTTTAAATGTTAATATTCCAAATTCCTTTATCCTTTATCTTTCTTCTACAAAGGTGGCTAATTTGTAATTGTCTTTGTGTATGTTACTCTAGACTTCATGCTGCAAGATTTGTGTTTCTAACAGAATAACTTACATAAATTTGAAGAGGATATATTTATTCAGGTTACTGTTTTAGGAGGCCAGCCCGGTTACTTGGGGGCTGTGAAAGAGCATATGACAGAGAAAAATCACTATTTCAAAGTATCCAGGAAGAGAAAACAGTATGAAGTATAAAGATCCCTTGATCAGTAGGATACCTTGATCACTAGGGTCTTTCAGAGGCCTCCTGTGGTAGGCTGCTATCCTGTTTCTTGTCTTCTCCTGCTTCTGATGTCTATCACATTTGTCCTTCTGAATGAGCATCTTCCCTAGGGAGGGGGAGTAGCCATAGCCAGGATATAAATTTAATAAACTGTAATAAATGATAATCATAAAAAATATACATAAAGAAAAATAATTAATATCAGAGAAGAATAAATAAAATTAAAATGAATAAGGAAAAAGAAGGATACTAGGATCCAAAAATTCCCTTCAAGTTCATATGGGATGACTCCTCACTGGAACAATCTCTTAAAGTTTCAAACCATCTTGCAGTATTGCCATGCCAGAGGTCAAATCAAGCCTTTAATGTAAGGGCTCGTAGAAGATATTCTAAATTTAAAATGCTTTATCTCACATATTTAAAAGCATGGGATATTTTATTTGTTTTCTTCCTAGAGTTTGTTATATAGGTTCTATGGACAACCTTTAAAGTTTACAGGCTCGTGAGAATAAATTTATGTTATTTCTGTGTATGTGTATGTACACTTGTCTGCATAAGTATACACTCCCATGTGTGTGGTTGTACACTGAGGCCAGAAAAGGGCATCTGGTGCCCTCCTCTATAGCTCTCAATCTGTCCTCTGAGTCAGGGTCTTTTCCCAAGCCTGAGGTTCTCATCTTTGATAGGTTTAAATGAACATTATGCTTCTGTTGCCTTTTGAGCTAGGGTTACAGGTATTTGCAAGGAATGCCTGGTTTGTTACTTGGTTGCTAGTATACAAGCTCTGATCTTCATGGTTGTGGGGCAAGCACTCTTAATTACTGAGCATTCTCCAGCTTCAATTCTGTGTAATATGCTAGAGTAAATACTAGAATATATTTCTTGTTACATATTTGAATACTTTTGTAAATAAAGAATTCTATTAAGATTGTATATGTAATAAGTGAACTTTCAATTCCTTGTTCTTTTTTTTGGTATAGTAACACTGTATTGCCTTTTGAATTAGCTTTATTTTTAATGTTTCTGATTTTATTTGCTGTTTTCTCATTTCATGGCAAGTTACCTTTTATTAATATAGTTTTACTATAATAAATACAATTTAAATGTTTACTGGGCACATTTTTATGCTCAATTGAATATGTTTATGAAAGGCAGCTATCATCCAATTCTGTGTCAGTATCAAAGCAGTAAGGTGGCTAGTGGAAACTTCTGAGGTCTTTGCTGTTAATATTTTAGACTATAGATACTCTGTATAGTGGATATTACACATTAAGACACTTGTAATCTAAAGTGTAACATGTTTTGTATCATTTCACCAGCTAACTTGAGTTTTCCATTTGCTTTTAACGATGTCTAGTAGTATTTAATTCTATCCATCCAACATTTTTTTGTTGTTGATGATTCTAGTCAGTTACTGCTGATACTAAAATTCATATTTTTAAAATTTAGTATATTGCTAGCTAAAGTAAAAAGCTTAAAAATCCTTAATTTCTTAAGCATGAATTATTTTCTACGAAGGATGAGCAGCAGTATTATTTACTTTTTCTTGGGGTGGTGACAAGATTAATTGAATTGTTTTGTTAATTTCAGCATAACTTGCTGACACAAGTCAAGTCTTCAATTTATGTTAAAAAGAGTAAGATTAACAGTATCCTAATACAGCATTATGACGTTCTTGTAACCATTGTAGATTATCTTGAGTGACTGTATTTGATTAGAATACTAATTTTATAATTTAATCAATTCCACATTTATTTTTAGCTTACAATCATTACTGTTTCAGAGTAGGTAGGTTAAACAATCATTTGCTACATACCAATATACACACTCTAACTAACAGTGAACATTTTCTTTATGTTCCCATTTGTTACATCAAACTGGGTATGCTAAAGCGCAATTCATTTTTTCCTTCTTTCCTCTAACTAGTGCTACAAAGCAAGCATTTGGCTCTTGTACAGTAACAGTAGTCCAAACCAAAGTCACACCTTATCCCCCAGAACTCTACAGCACTATTCTTTGGGCATTTATAGGAAAGATTGGCTTGTTTCTGTCCTGAGACACTGAGCAGTACAAAAAGTTACCAAATGATACTTTTGTAAATATAAAACAGGAAAAGAAATCTAAGATATGTTTTGAGGCAAGAGATACTTTTATTTGTTTTGCTTTGTTTTTTTCTTCTTTTCTTTTTTAATGACATATTGATGTTGAACTCTTAGATTCACCAGAAACTGGAGATGATGATTCAAATACAGGATTTGGAAAAATTTTCCCCAAACCTAACTTGAACACCACAGAAGAGATTAAAGAAGACTCTGATGAAATGCCCTCACAGTGTATTTCTAGAAGGGAATTGGAAAAGGGTCGAATTTCTAGAGAAGGTAATGGAATGGCATAAACCAACACATAATTCATCTTATATTTTTTGTTCTGTTTCCATTTTTCATAGCTTATTGAAATAAGAAATTTCTATGGGGTCATTTACATTAAGATCGACACTTTAATATCTCTATCTAGTTAGTTTTCTTTCTTTTAAAACTCATACAGGGGAAGTTCTTTAACATACATTGTTTGCAGTCAGTATTTGGGTAACCAATAAGTCCTACAAGTCTGGAGTTACATTATTTTGTATATAAAAGAACTGACTAATCATCATAGAATCTAAAATAGATATGAGGTGATCATTAAAGTTCGGTGAATGGAAATCTGAATTTAGAATTTTATATCACAACAATATTCTTAAAAAAAATTTACATTTTAATTATTTTCTATATGACAAAATTTCAGGATCAAGGCAACTTATAAAAGAAATATTTAATTGGGCTCTTGTTTTCAGAGCATTATAGTCTATGATGGCAGAGTAAGATGCCCCGAACATCTTGGAGCTCACACCTTGATCTACGAACTGTAGGAGGGGAGAGCACACTAAGAATGGTACAGGGCCTTCAAAGCCTCAAGGCCTGTTCCCAGTGACATACTTCCTTCTCATCCTTCCCAAACAAGTCTATTAACTGGAGATCAAGTATTCAAACTTTGAGCCCATTGGGCCATCTTACATTCAAAGTACCACACTGCTAAATGATTTTATATTGTTTTAGTATATTTTTTGAATTAGTGATTCCTTTCTATTGTTGTGTTACAATATCTTTCTTCGTAATAGTGAAGAATCAGCCTCCAATTAACATCCTTGTATATAAAATCTAATTTCCCCAAATACAATATTGGTAATGAATGTGAGGAACTATAAAGAAGTTTGGAGAGCTTTTGTCTGAAATTCCTGGCTGTTGATTTTGAATGCATCATTTGTATATTTTAATATGAAACTGGCTAATTTTGGGGAATACATTTTAAGCAGAATAGTTACATAAATGGTTATTACATAGTGATGATTTTTAAATCATAAAATGACTCTTAAAAACTTTAATATTATTTGGGGATAAATTTTAGTTCTAATTAATGGAAAAATATTGTTATTACTGTCTGCTGTTAATATTTTCATAAAGTTTATTTCTTTTTTAGCACTTAAAATTGAATGTTATAATTTTATTTGAAAAATTGCTAAAAATACTTTATATCTTTGTTTTGTTCTTAAGAAATGGAAACACTTTCAGTTTTCAGAAGTTACGAACCTGGTGAACCAAACTGCAGAATTTATGTAAAGAATTTAGCTAGACATGTTCAGGAAAAGGTAAATTGAAATTTGCAGTTTGATTTTGTTATTTCACTTTTTTTTTAATTTCACTTTTATTTTTATTAATTACAGTTTATTCACTTTGTATCCCTCCTGTACCTTCGTCCCTCCTCCCCACCCAATCTCACCCTCCCTCTTCCCTACCTGTGTCGTGTCCCTCTCCCTTTCCACTGATAAGGGAGGTCTTCCTCCTCTTCCCTCTGATCCTAGTCTATCAGGTCTCATCAGGAGTGGCTGCATTGTCTTCTGTGGCCTGGTAAGGCTGCTCCCCCCTCAGAGGGAGGTGATCAAAGAGCAAGCCAATCAGTTCATGTCAGAGACTCCCTGTCCCCATTACTATGGAACCCACTTGGATACCGAACTGTCATAGGCTACCTCTGTGCAGGGGTTCCAGGCCATCTCCATGAGTGGTCCTTGGCTGGAGTATCAGTCTCAGAAAAGACCCCTGTGCCCAGACTTTTTGGATCTGTTGCTCTCCTTGTAGAGCTCCTGTCCTCTCCTGGTCTTACTATCTCCCACTTCTTTCATAAGGTTCCCTGCATTCTGCCCAAAGTTTCGCTATAAAAAACAAGAAAACATGAAATTTGCAGGTAAATGGTGGGAACTGGAAAAGACCATCCTGAGTGAGGTATCCCAGAAGCAGAAAGACGCACAGGGTTTGCACTCACTCAGAAGTGAATATTAGATATATAATATAGGATAAACCTACTAAAATCTGTACGCCTAAAGAACCTAAGCAAGAAGGAGGACTCTGGCTAAGCTGCTCAATCCACATTCAGAAAGGCAAAGAGGATGGACATCAGAAGAGGGAGAAAACAGGGAACAGGACAGGAGCCTACCACAGAGGGTCTCTGAAAGGCTCTACCCTGCAGGGTATGCAGGCAGATGTTGTTTCACTTTTTATCCTGGGCTTTTTCATTTGTCTTTTTCTCTTATTTTAAATTTCAAATTCTAGGATCTTAAATTTATCTTCGGAAGATATGTTGATTTTTCTTCAGAAACACAGCGGATCATGTAAGTGGCAGTTACAATCTCAGTTTTGTTGTATAAATCATCGTGTTTCATTATGCTTAATTGTTTTTCTTTAGTGTTAAAAATCACATAGTAAATCATCTGTTAAATAAATTTCCTCTTAGAAATCTTAGAACAAGAAGAGATAAATATTTATATAAATGAGCAAATAAAACTTTTAATATTTTAAATCAGATCATATCTATTACAACTATTCAAATTTTCCTTGTATGAAAGCTGATACAAACTCTGTGTAAAGAAATACTTATGCTTATATTCTTCTAAACCCTTATTGACAAATGTAAATCTTCTGACAAGTTTTGTCACTAACTCATAGACCGTAAAGCATTGTTACTCACCTTTTTTTACATTGCCTGAGAACTACCTAGAAAGCTTCCTTAAATGATTTTCTTGGCCCAGCTCCAGAGATAGGTTTTTTTATTTGTGTCAGGCCTCTTGGATTTGCATTTCTAAAACTAAAACTGAGTTTAGCTATTTAGGTTTATATTAATTTTAAGTAAAACCAAATACCCTGTGTGTCTTTTTGGATATATTTTATGTTCATATGTACAAGTATGTATAATTGTAAAGTAATTGTAAAGATTATATTTTCATTATTACTTGCCTACAATTACAATTTGAGGGAAAAAAAAAAAAACAATTCCATTTGGAAAAAGCTGTACATTCCCAAGTGATAATTTCCTGTGAGGCTAGTAACTGTGTTTTTAAATGTTCTCACTGCATTTCCTTTTGAGAGAGAGAGAGAGAGTGTGTGTGTGTGTGTGTATGTATGTGTATGCCTCTACATGTTTATCATACACCGTTTTTTGTTGTTGCTTTTGTTTTGCATTTGTTTGTTTGAGACTGTAGTTTTTTGGTGGCCTAATAGTCACCAAGTTGGCCTTTTTGGCTGGCCAGTAAATCAGGGTCCATTTGTTTCTGCTTCTCTAGTTTGCAATCGTAAGCATATATATCACCATGCCTAGCTTTTTCTTCTTTTCTTTTCTTTTCTTTTTCTTTCTTTCTTTTTTTTTTTTTTTTTAATGAGTATTAATAGGATTGCTCTTGGGTCCTTTTGAGATCAGTGCAAGCACTTTTCTAGTTGACCTGGAACTTAGCCACATCACTTAATTCTATTTGTTTTATATTTTTTGGTTTATATTAGATCACTGTTTTCATTGTAAGTTGTAATCTCATTTTTATAAATAGCTTTTAAAAACTTATTTTCTCTCAAAAATGTTTATATATGAATATACTATAGAATAATAAGATATGGGAAGAGTATACTGGGAATAACGTGAGTTAAGCTGTATGCTTGAAAGAGTTTTTCTCTCCATATACCATTAATAAAATGACAACTGAGTAAGTGATAAGTCTTCTACCTACTCTAAAAGTCTGTAAATGCTTATAATAATGTAAAATCAGTAGTGCAAATTAGCTGTTTGGATTCTCTTAGCCTTTTATACATTTTTTAATCACTTGAGTGTATAGTATTGAACTCTTTGGAAGATATTTTCAAAAAGATTAATTAAAAATATTGGTGAGCCATAGGAGTGTATGCCTTTAAAACTAGCACTGGGGAGACTGAGACAAGGGTCTCTGAATTGGAAGCCAGCCTGATCTACAGAAGTGAGTTCGGAGACAGCCAGGGTCCCTGTCCTGGAAAAACAAAAGAAAAGAAACACACAGAATAATTTTAGCCTGCTTTACTGATTGTATAATTCTACTAGAGCCTTGAATCATGGAACAACAACAAAGATTTTGTTTTTCTTTTGCTAATGGTATAATTTTAAAATTATGAGCATATCATCGTTGTTACTTGTTAAGAACAATACAAAATAGAACTTCAGAATATTTAATTCTAATATTTCTTGTTCTGTTGTTACTTCGAAATAGCGAAAGTTTGGATTGTTAAGAGCTTGGATACATGGTTTTAAAATTGATGTGCTTTGAATCATTCTTTTTTTTTTTTTCTTCTTTACTTACAGGTTTGATATTCGCTTGATGAAAGAAGGCCGCATGAAAGGACAAGCTTTTGTTGGACTTCCAAATGAAAAAGCAGCAGCAAAAGCCTTAAAAGAAGCTAATGGCTATGTTCTTTTTGGAAAACCCATGGTGGTTGTATCCTTGAAACCATGCATCCTAAAATCATAAGCTTTTTAGAGATAGTATGTAAATAATTAGATGAAACTATCATTTATAATAATGGCAACAGTTGTTATTCAAGTTTGAGTTGTTATTTAACAGTTAAACATGCTTTAGCTCAGTCAGATTATAAACTTACTTACGTAACTATTGGAAAATAGTGTAACCTCAGCATTTAAAGTAAAGTTTGGCCAAGATTATACATTTATGCAGCTCTAAATTATTTTCTCCTGTTAAGCTCAAGTGATACTATCTACAACTATACGTGGAGTTACTAGAAGGGGTTCTTCAGTAGTTTTATTGTAATTCACATTTCTACTTTCATATTTCAGTGACCAAAATATATCCTACATAATTGTCTTGTAGTAATAAATTCAGGTTTTAAATTAGAATTTCATGAGAGTATGGATCATCAAAGTGACAGTCATAAAGGAAGGCAAATTTTTTTATTTTTTTATTTTATTAAATTGTGGCAATCATGCAAGAGTTAGGAAAAGTATTTTTTAAGACTTGTTTATTCTATATTAGATATTAGTACTATATATTATGTATCCTTCTATATTAGGTCTTGATTTAAAAAAAAAAAGTTTATATTCACTATGGAAGCCTTAATTTTAACATATTAGCAGTTTGCTCGATCTGCTAGACCAAAGCAAGATTCTAAAGAAGGAAAACGAAAGTGATAAAAATGAAGAAGGGTAAGTATAGATAAAGCTTTAAAAGTGAAGACATTTTCATGGAGTAAATGTAAGCAAGCATAAAAGTATTATTACAAATTCAGAAATATTTTAGGGGATTTTAAGAAAATTTCTGTGTATACAGTTCATTCTTCAAAATTTTAACTGTAGAGTGAAATAAGTTTGTATGTAACAATTTTGAAGAATTTCACAAAGAAAATGATTGATTGTTAATTTTATGTTTGTTGCATGGTGATTTTTTTAATTTCTAACATGTTGTAATCTCTTGGAGAGTGTGATAAGAACAGGTTGCTGGCCCTTCTCTCCAAGAGTTTCTATGTCAGTAGTTCTGAGATGGGTGACCAGTAGTCCCATTTATTCTGAAACTAAGGGATTTCTCAGCATGTAGTAATTGCAGCTAGTGCAAGGAATAATATCTGCTGAGCTATAGCTAGTTGGGTATCTTTATTGGCAGTGTACCAGTTGAATAATCATTTGAGTTCATAGGTAACATTGTAGGTTTTGATCAAGGAACCACACTTTGAAAACGGAACGAAACAGTTATTAAAATTCTATAGTGCTATGTATTTAAAATTAATAACACTTAAAAATATTATTTTTAGGCATTGTTTGTTTGGAAAAGGAAGTTTCTCTACTTAAATGAGCAAATGATTTCAAGTGGTGGAATTAAAGACTTTAAATTCTTAAGTTATATTACTTAGAGAAATCAGTGCCCTTTGGGGATTTTTTTTGGAGGGGCCTATTAGAGATAGTTTACTTCTAGTTATTTTACTCTTAGAACCTGGAAGAACATGAAAATAATTAGTCAGAATTTCTGTTTAGCTAGAAAAAAATTAAAAACAAAACAAAACAAAAACCTAACAAAATAGAAATATTTACCTAGTGTTTAATATCTGTGTTTTTCTTCGGATATTTGCATATGCTTTCAAAACGGATGTCTCATAAGTATTGTACAGAAAAAAATGAATTTCAGTCTGTTTTTTAGTAAATTGTTTAAAAATTTATTGCTATAGACCAGAAAAAAAAAAATAAAACTACATTCTGCTGTTCTTCTTTAGAAGCATTCCTGCGTAAATACTGCTGTAATACTGTCATACAAGTGTATCCTTTCTTGTATCCTTTTGGGGCAGTGGTTTTGTTTATTTACCTTCTATCATTTATCCAGGTTAAGGAATACTTTTTATTCAAATGAAACATTTCTTTAATTAGTTTTGTATCCTGGACAAACATTATGTATTTTAGACATACTGTTTAATTTTTTACATTATATAAACCCAGGAGGTTTTTTTTGTTGTTGTTTTTGTTTTTTTTTTTCAGCGAAAGTTAGTGAATCAGGTCACTTTGTTTATACATTGGTTTTACCACAGAAATTGGTAATATTTCTTATAATGTGAATTTCCTCAATCTAATTCAGGAACATGCTTTTTTTTTATGTCATATCACATATAGGTGTTGTTTTACTTTCATTTTTATTGCTGTGACAAATACCCTCACAAAAAAAGCAACTTAGGGAAAAAGGGATTCATTTGTCTTACAATTCAAGGTTTCAGTCCATTGTTGTGGGGAAGTCAAGGCATGAATTGAGGTGTAATAGCCACAGTCAAGAGCAAAGATAGAGCATAAATCTTATAACTTCCTTATTCTGAGCTAGCTTTTTCCTGTCTTAATCTGTTCATGGCTTCCTTTCCTAAGGAATGGTGCTGCCCAAAGTTGGCTGCATCTTACCTCACTGAACAATCAAGCCTGCTGTGCCCTCCGACCAACATAGTCTGATAATGCTTTATTAAGACTTTTTCCAGGCAACCCAACGTTCTGTCAGGTTAACAGTTAAAGCTATCCAGTACAGTTGTTTTGTATAACATGTTCTAAAATTTGACTTGGAAAGGATCTTCTCTTAGTTTTAAATATATTGAAAACTAACAAGATTTCTGTAGCTACAGTAACAGATTTCACATTGAAAATGTATTGAAATGTCCTTGACAAGTGGAAGGATTTCCTTTAATCTGTTTTTTGTTTTTCAAAACAAAAACATCCAAAAACAATATATATATATTTTATGTATATGTATCTATATACATATATATATGAAAAGATAAACAGATAAGACACGTTAGACTTTGTATAAGTCAGTAAATTACCTTCCAGAAATAAGAAAAATAATTACAGACTGTATGATGACTAGAATCTACCAGAACAGTCAGTTTCAAATTCTGCACATTTAAATCCTGAGAACTTTAAATACAAAATGTTGACGTACCTGTTGATGCTTGTTTTCCTCCTTAGAGTTTGATTCTCGTGTTTTAACATGAAGAGAACCACCCAGGATGATAGTCCGATGTATAAATATTTCTATAGTCTATTCACGTAGAGCTAATAAATCGAAAATCACTTCAAATAACATCCAGTAATATAATTTGAAAAGTTCCCTTAGTAATAGAGGACCTAACAGATTTGGATGCTGCTTTGTTAAACTGGTTGGCCACTGAGTATTAACTTTGTCACCAGTATATACATATATGTGTATATATATGTGTGTATAAATGTGTGCATATATATATATATATATACACACACATATAAAATATATATATATACATATTAGGAAAATAAATAACCTCAGTGTTTGTGAGAAATTTTGCTATTATAAGTGCTGCGAAACTTTTCAAGTTCTGTTACTTGTAACCCAAAGAGTAGAAGCTTACCAAATTTGATATTGCAGTCCCTTGATGAACACATTTGAAATATTTTAAATATTAGTAGCTGTTATTTACAGACATTTTGTTTTGCTGACATGATTCACTAATTTTCCATATATAAATATTTGAGCTTTGTAAAGTTAATTAACTCAATTATTATGATTCATTTAATGGACTTTTGTGGTGTTTTAGGTTCCTTCTGAATTCTATATCTTTCAAGTACTATGGAACTTGGAGAGAAGAAATTGACTGCCTGGACTATGAACTGTGCGTAACAAACAACTTTGAAAGCAGTTAAAAATTACATATCTTGAAGTTAGTGTTTGGAGATACATTATAATATCTTATTGCATATATAATAAATTATTTTCTTCTCAACAGTGTCCATGTTTTTTATAACTTGGTTTATTTATCTAAGGAAGTATAACTTACTAAACATAAACTTTCATTAATAATTTTATAGTACTTAGCTTTACGTTTTTCTTTTATTCTTACCTTTTTATTTTTTATTCTTTATACAGTGCATTTTCACACGTTTATAAGAATTATTTAAATAATTATAATTATTAAATCAATTATTAATTAAATTAATCATTAAATTTATTATTATTTTGAGATTAGTTTCAGTTTTTTATTGGCTATTGTCCACTCTTTTTTTTAACTTTTATTAATTATACTTTATTCACTTTGTATCCCCCATAAGCCCCTCCTTTCTCCCCTCCTAATCCCACTTTTCCTCCCACTCCTTCACGCATGCTCCTCCCCAAGTCCACTGTAGGGGAGGTCCTCCTCTCCTTCCTTCTGATCTTAGTCTATCAGATCACATCAGGAATGGCTGCATTGTCATCTTCTGTGGCCTGGTAAGGTGGCTCCCTCCTCAGGGGGAAGTGATCAAAAAGCAGGCCAATCAGTTTATATCAGAGACAGTTCCTCTTCCCATTACTATGGAACCCACTTGGACACTGAACTGCCATGGGATACATCTGTGCAGGGGTTCTAGGTTATCTCCATGCATGATACTTGGTTGGAGTATGAGTCTCTGGAAAGATCCCTGTGTTCAAACTTTTTTTCGTTCTGTTACTATCCTTGTGGAGCTCCTCTCCTCTCCAAATCTTACTATTTCCCACTTCTTTCATAAGATTTCCATGTACTCTGCCCAAAGTTGGCCATAAATCTCAGAAACTGCTTTAATAGTCTGCAGGGCAGAGCCTTTCAGAGGCCCTCTGTGGCAGGTTCCTAACTTGTTTCCTGTTTTCTTCTGATGTCCATCCTCTTTGCCTTTCTTGATGGGGACTGAGCATTTTAGTCAGAGTCCTCCCTCTTGATTTGTTTCTTTATGTATGCAGATTTTAGTAGGTTTATCTTATATTATATGTCTGTATGAGTGAGTATATACCGTGTGCGTCCTTCTGCTTCTGGGATAGATCCCACCATTTACCTGCAAATTTCATGATTTCTTTGTTTTTCATTGATGAGTGATATTCCATTGTGTAGATGTACCACAATTTCTTCATCCACTCTTCAGTTGAGGGGCATCTGGGTTGTTTCCAGCTTTTGGCTATTACAAATAAAGCTGCTACAAACATGGTTGAGCAAATGTCTTTATTGTGTACTTGAGCCTCTTTTTGATATACGCCTAGGAGTGGTATGACTGGATATTGAGGAAGCGCTATTCCTAGTTGTCTGAGAAAGCACCAGATTGATTTCCAGAGTGGTTGTACAAGTTTACATTCCCACCAGCAGTGGAGGAGGGTTCCCCTTTCTCCACAACCTCTCTAGCGTGTGTTGTCACTTGAGTTTTTGAACTTGGCCATTTTGATGGGTATAAGGTGAAATCTCAGGGTCATTTTGATTTGCATTTCCCTAATGGCTAATGAGGTTGAGCATTTCTTTAAGTGTTTCTCTGCCATTCGATAATCCTCTATCGAAAATTCTTTCTTTAGCTCTGTTCCCCATTTTTTAATTGGATTACATGGTTTGTTGCTTTTCAGTTTCTTTAGTTCTTTATGTATGCTGGATATGAGTCCTCTGTCAGATAAAGGATTGGTGAAGATTCTTTCCCAATCTATAGGCATTCGTTTTGTTTTGATGACAGTGTCCTTTGCTTTATAGAAGCTTTTCAGTTTCATGAGGTCCCATTTATTGATTGTTGATCTTAGAGCCTGTGCTGTTAGTATTCTGTTCAGGAAGTTGTCTCTGTACCAATGAGTTCTAGGGTCTTCCCCCCTTTTTCTTCTAACCAATTTAATATGTCTGGTTTTATGTTGAGGTCTTTGATCCACTTGGACTTTAGTTTTGTTCAGGGTGATAAGTATGGACCTATTTTCACTTTTCTACATGTAGATATCCAGTTAGACTAGCACCATTTGTTGAAGATGCTATTTCTTTTCCATTGTATGGTTTTGGCATTTTTGTCAAAGATCAGGTGTCCATAAGTGTGTGTGTTTATTTCTGGGTCTTCTGTTTGGTTCCATTGATCCACCATTCTGTTTCCGTGCCAGTACCATGCAGTTTTTATAACTGTTGCTCTATAGTACAGCTTAAGATCTGGGATGTAGATACCTCCAGAAGATCTTTTATTGTAGAGGATTATTTTAGCAATTCTGGGTTTCTTTTTTGCCTCAATTTTCTGAGAGCTTTATTTATTTCTCTGAGAGCGTTATTTATTTCCTCTTTGTTATTCTCGATTCCTGTGGCCATTTCTCTTAAGGTTTTGTTCATTTCCTCTTTATGGGCCTCTAATAGCTGGAAAAACATAGATTTAAAGTTGTTCTCTTATGTATCTAGTGAATTGAAATGTCCATTGACCTGTGGGTTGCTGGTGAAGCCATGATGTCCTGATTTTTGTTGAGTGTGTTCTTATGTCTGCCTCTGGCCATCTGGTTATCCCTCAGTGTTTGTTCCTGGAGTCTGTAGTTCAGGCTAAGATCATCTCTTTCTGTTTTCTGGACTGTTTTATTTAAGAAGATGAGAGAGGTTCACTGGTTTGGGAGTGTGCATTGTGGTTTCAAGTTTTACCTAAGTAAAGAATGTGATGCTGGTGCTATTAGCATGCACTTTTAGTGGGCGCAGTATGCATGTGCGGATTCCCTGACTATAGCAGTGGTCTGCAGGCCACTAGTATGCAACTCTGTCTTGGATCCATGAATTGTTTGTCTGGATTTCACTGGTATTCCCGCAAGGCAGAGGCTTCAGCGTTGGGGATTCCCAAGAATCCCTCTGATGCCCAAACTAGGGGTGTGGGTGGCAGGGATCTCTTATCTGGTTGCTAACTAGAGAGGCCCTGAGTCTGGGGCAAACATTCCCTAGAAGGCACACTCACTCCCTTGCAGGACCAGTTGGATTGCACAGGTTTCCCCTTGCTCTCTACTCTTCGATTTGATCCTGCTGGGGCAAATGCGGGTGTAGGCTAACAGTCAGCTCTGTGGCACTGTAGCAGCAGGACTTGGTGTCCACCTGCACTGTGTCCCACCTCTCTGACCTTCCCCTCCACCAGGAAAGACTTATGGTGGCTGGTCCCGGGGTAGCACCAGAAAGAGTTGGGTTGAGTGTTCTTAATCCCAGATTCCGGGCCCAGATCTCTCTGCCAGAAGCCACCCAGCGGTAGTGCATATGTTGGTTCCGGGTGAGTACCAGGTAGTGTTGAGTGTCCTCAGATCCAGAACTGGGGTTCCTCTGCCATGGGCCACTGGGTACGCTGGAACGGAGGTGCTGTGGCCTGTGGCAGATCTGCAGGTTGTCTCTCTGTCTGCTACCTCTCTGTCCATTACCTTGATAGTGGTAGATTTGTCTGTTATAAAGTACTAATATTTGTCACTATTAATAACTTAGAATGTGAATTATTTATCTCTAAACTTATTTTGTATAGGAACATTGCTGAAAGGTAAACATGTGTTTTAATAGTAAATTGTCCCCTTAGTAAAATTTATTATTGGTAGAAAAAAGACTAATTTCTTATAAAATGATTTTATTTGTTGTCACTGGTAAATATTAAATAACCTTTAACTTAGTGCTATTCCCTAAAGGGTGATGCCTTTAATAAAATGCCTAGATAATCATAGATTTTTTTCCTTGTATTTAGGACATTGCAAAATGGGTATAATAAAATAATTCAATATAGGAATTGAAAATAGATGTGAACCCTGGAACATGCTGATGTTTAGCTTGTCAGTTCTATAAAGAACCATAAAGAGAAACAAGAAAAATTTTGAGATCTGATGTAGACATTAGGAAAAAAAAGAAAGGATCATCAAATACAGTAGTTCCTCAATGAATCACTAAAGATGAATTAAGATTAGCATGGTGGTGGCAACACATGCCTTTAATCCCAGCACTTGGGAGCCAGAGGCAGGTGGATCTCTATGAGTTTGAGGCCAGTCTGATCTACAGAGTGAATTCCAGTTATACAGAGAAACCCTGAGCCGAAAAAAAAAAAAAGAGGTCAAACTGTACATGTGACCTGGGTCACATGAACTGGTTAGTTATATGAATGAGTTAGAGATGGTATTCAGTTCAATGGTAGAGAACAATTTGATAAAAATTAAGAACAATTCTCAGATTAAAAAAAAATGTACTCTTTGTTTAGTTATCTAAAACTAATCATTTTGTTTTGAATTTATATGTGAGTACACTGTATTGTATTTTTATCCCATCCACTCAGAAGACAACTCTTAAGTGGAATAGGGAAATGGGTCTTTAATGGAGCCATTTGTTAACAGGTTTTTATTTGTTTGTTGCTTTTTGCCTTTAAGATTGTTAAGGAAACTGGTTTGGTAGTAGGCCTGATAAAAGAAGAAGGAAACATTGTAGAAAAAAAAAAACATTTAAATTTTAGATATTTTCTGTAAGTAGATGGAATAGTTTCAGTGAGGAACAGAAATAGCTCATTAATAGTAAGATTGTCAAATTAGATGTTTTTAATTTGATAGACCATGTTGCATTTTTATTGACATTAATTAATGACAAATTTTTGATGCTTATATGTCAGAATACCTGAGGATATCATCCTAAAGGAAGAAAGATTTATTTTATCTTCAAGTTTCAGAGGGTTTAGTTCATAGTTGCTGACTCCCATTATTTTTTGGTCTGTGATGAGATAATAGAACATAACTGAAGCCCATAGTGTATGCTGCATCACTTCAGTGGACTTGTTGAGGGCCATGGGAAGAAATGAGGGAGGATGAGATTGGGAGGAAATGAGGGAGGGGGCTACAAATGGGATACAAAGTGAATAGACTGTAATTAATATAAAAAAATTTTAAAAAAAG